TTCTCCCATGGACACTGGAGGAGCACCTGCCCTGTCACCTGTGGGTGGCTCGGGCCAACCTGTGCCCCCGTGGGGTGGAAGGAAGGGAAGATGCAGGGGGGAGATGTCAGCGCTACAGTGCCAGGATGTGCATTTGCCCTGGATTTGCATGGCCGGCCGTGGCGAGGCCTCTGCTCCCGTGTGCGGTATGGGACACCGCAGAGCCCACGCCTGAGGGACTGACCATGAGACCCCTGAATCCGAATCCCAACCTGAAAAGGGACCTGGAATTTGCTGGAAGAAGGCTGTGCTGACCCAGATTCAGTGGAAACCCCTGGCCTCTGGGAGACACGGAGGCTGAGGAGGGGACCCGCTGGCACCTTTAGCCTGCGCCATGCCAGTCCGACCACCCCCAGGAGCAGGTGCCGGTGAGCTCATTCCTCCATTTCCTGCAGGTGACAATGATGTCCCTCATTCCATACCTGAGGTCACCGCAGGGGACCCCACATCCACTGCTGCTTTTGTCTTGTTCCCGAGGGGCCCACATCGGCCAGCAAAGACCACACATCCCTCTGTGACCCAGGAGTCCCCACTGAGCCCTTCTATGTGCAATGGACTTCCTAGTGCTGGGAGCACCTAGCATGCACCAGGCAGTACTGAGCATGCTCCCGTGCAACCACAGTGAGTGGTGTTAATGGCACCCCAAGAGTTGCCCTCCCCTACCCCACCAAAGAATGGAGGATGAAGACGAAGATATCCACACGCGGCCATGGGTACCTCTGGCAGTTTCCTAGAAATAAGATCCATTTGTTGGTTTGTTTTTGAGATGAGTCTCACTGTGCAGTCCAGGCTGGCCTTGAACTCACTATGTAGCTCAGGCTGGTCTCAATCCTCCTGCCTCAGCCTCCCTTGTGCCGGGATGACAGGCATGCACTGTGGTGCCCAGCTTCAGTCCTTTGATTAGGAGAGGACTGAGGGTTGCCCCTGGCTAGCGCACGTTGCGCTGCTGCTTTAGGATCTCACTCCACGCCATTTACAGCGCAGGCACCTGGAGGCCACTCTGGCTGCCTGGAGACACACTGTGCTTTTATGTGGGAGCTCACCTTGTAGACCTGACCACGGAAGGGTGCAGCTCTGCATACTGGCACAGCCCAGTCCGTACCTGTTTGCTTTTTTAATTTCTCCAAGCAGATTTCAGCCTCCAACCCATAGAAAGGCAAATCTGCACCCTTCTTTTCGTCTTTTTGAGACAGGGTGCAGTTCAGGCTGGCTTTGAGTTCACCTTGAAGCCTAGGCTGGTCTCGAACTTGCAATGATCCTCCTGCTTCAGCCTCCTGGGTGCTGGGATAGAGGAGTGCGTCACAACGCTTGACAAAACTAATTTTATTACCTGGGTTTTTTTTTTTTTTTTTTTTTGGTACCAGGAGTTGAACTCAGGACTTGCACCTGCCAGGCGGTGCTTATGCCTCTGAGCTCTGTCCCGGCCTGCAGCCCGGGAAGACAGTCACACTGAATCCTCTGTGTCCACAGTCAACCTCTCCCTTGCATACCCGCAGGAGGGAGAAGGGCAGCCCTGCCTCAGCCTGTGAGAGCATTCAACTTTAATCTGGACCAGTTCCCCAATCTCCCTGAGATCTGGGGTGAATGTGAGCCTCGATCCACAGTGCTCAGGTTCCCTTCCGCCCCAGATTTAGCTCACTTGAGACTGAAAGGATTTCAGCTGGAGTCCTCAGGGGAACAAAAGCCTCCTGCTTCTCTCCTCTGCAGTGATTTCTCCCCCGCAGGAGCTCAGTGAAGGCCTGAGGTGCTGCCATGTTAGGGTCCCCCCCATGGAGCAGCGCTGGATGGGGTGATCCTCTGCACACAGGTGCAAGAGTCCTGACTGCTCAGCCAGGTCCCAAACTTCTTTCTCCAAAGTCAACGGTGGGAGCCCCAGGCCCAACGTAGGGCCTGGCCCGTGGGGCGGTGGCAGCGCGTTCTACAGAAAATTGGCCCCAACACCGTTGGTCCGCAGCCACTAAGGAATCTGAAAAGCCAAGTAGTTTCCCAGCTACTCTGAGAGGCCCAGAAAAAGTCCTCTCGGGGACTCATCCTTCCTCGGAGAGTAAAAGTCCCAGAGTCTGCGCCCCGGCTGGCTGCAAGGGGTGACAGTGATTCCAGGAAACGCTCAGCTGCGAGCAGACAGAAACCTTTCCTGTCTCAGGACGGCAACCAGACGCTCACAGCTAAGCATGTTTATGATGCCCAATAAAATGACACAATAAACCAAACATTTACCCGACGCTAGAAATGATTTTCAAGAGGGACTTGGCAGGAAGCAGAGGCACCTTGGAAGTGAGCTTGGGCGCAGTCCTGCCACCCTCTCCTCAGCCCCAATCTACTACTCAGACAGGAAAATCGGGGGGGGGGGGGGAGGCTCTCACAGCACCTGGCAGGCCACTTCCGGGTCTGCATCGGCCAGGCTTCTCCTGGGGTCCAGGGAAGCGGACACGTGCTTCCCAGGACCCGAGGAGCCCCACCTTTGGTTCACTCCCAGCAGAGCATGCAGAAGCCACAGCCTTGGCAGCTAGGTTTGGCCCCACATAAGGACCAGGGTGGCTGCAAACCAGAGGGGCTAGGCAGGGGCCCGCACGGTCACCAAGGTGCTGGGGGCTGAAGGTGCTGGACAGACCTAGCTACTGCCACAACGTCAAGGCTGGTGGACTTGGCCGGAGCCGGACTTTGCAAGCATCTCTGACCGAGATAAACAAACCTAGCAAAACCTGACTGCTAAGGCTCACTGCAAAGGAGCTGGCATTGAACTCCAGGCCTTTCAAGGTTGGAATGTGGGTGTTCCCCATCCCCCAAAACAACAACAAAATCCTTCAACAGGAAGTCAGTGAGCAGAATTGGTTTTGAGGAGCGCTTACAGACACACATTATTCTGTACATGTCAGCTTCACCAGGGTAAAAAAGCAGGAAAGGGGCCCCATGAACTCGGTATCTCATTTGTCTACATTTCCTTCTGGGCTCTCCAAAACACATTACAAAATTTTAAGCTAATTATGTAATTATAATTGTAATAATGCGGTATAACTTGCACGCCAGCTTCCCCCCATTTAATCTGTAACAGGCTTCAGGTAGTACTGATTTTTTAAAATTTCTAATAAGAAAGGAAAATGTAATGGAGCCCTAGGAGAATTCATTCGTTGAATATATTAATATCACCATCCCTTTCACACTCGAAAGACACAGAGAGGCTGCCTAATTATGGTGTTCTCTGTGCCACTGCTATTTGGCAGGCTTTTAAAATGACCGAGCCATTTCAGATTTGGGGGAAATGTGAAAATTTCACGGAGCTGTTTTCATGATCTAAAAATAGTGCCAGGCTCCCAACAGAAGCTTCAGAGAAGTGATTTAATGTGAATATTTGCCGAGCTTGGTGGACCACAGGCCAGGTTCGGGAGCCCAGTTCGAAACACTCTGCCTAGATTGACTCGCTTATTCCTCACAGCTTCTAGTGGGGGTACGGGGCAGGGTAGGGGGTGACAAAATCACTGGTCCACAGTGGACACCCCCAGGACGAGGCCCCGGAGGTGTCACTACACAGCCACCCTCAGGAGTAAACCACCCAAGACTGATTCCACCCAGACCTCCTCACCTTCCAGCGCAGTATCACAGGCAGGAAGCAGCCCCCATGAACACCCTGCCCGGACAGTTACTGTAAATCATCACATACACACCCCAAGGGCTCCGGGTCACTCAGGGACATTTAGGAGAAATCTGGAGTCATCAGGGGCTGAGCCAGGGTCCTGATGAGCATAATTCTGCGTGCATGGGGTGCATTATCTCTCTCTCTCTGTCTCTGTCTCTCTCTCTCTCTCTCACACACACACACACACACACACACACACACACACAAAATAATAAATAAAAAGAGTGATGACACAGATGCTTGGAAAGGGTTTGGGTTAAAAATGGAAGCTTTTTTTTTTTAATTTTGCAAATTTTAGCAATGAGTCAATGGCGTGACGTGCAGATTCCCTGAATGAACTGAATGCCCACTCTTGCCAGAATTCAAAAATAAAGCAGAGACGCCCACTGGGTCCGGCCATCCTCAGGGCTTATCTGCTGGCCTCTGAGAGTGCCAGGAGAATGACCCGACACCCTGGGGCCACATGGTTCACACCTTAATTAAAGTCAGACCTAGGCCAATAAACAGGACTACCTGAAACACAATTTCTCTCCTGAATTTAAAAGACAGTGAACCATTTCAGACTCCCTGGCTGGGCTTCAGCACCCAAAGCAAAAACTAGGAATAATTATGATGCTCTGTGGTGGTGAATATCACACTCAGCCACACACACATTCACACTCACGTGCATCGAGGACTGTATTTTTAAATTTAAAACTGCCCTTTCTTTCATTCCAAGCTTTCAAGCTGCCATTTTAGAATTTATCCAGCACTCTGCCCATCGGGCCGGCCCGATAAATAAAATATCTAATCACTTTGCACATTAACTGTGGTTGAGATCCAGCCAGATTGCTCTAGGAAGATGGTGTAACAGGCTTTTATTAAAATGCTAGAGATAGAGACAGCTAGAGCCCTCATCCTACACATCAGCCTTAAAGAGACTAAAATGCACAACCGAAACCACTGTCCATGGACTTTGCAAAAAACAGAGTCGGTAACATTTCACCACTTACCCTTCCACTTAGGCTGGAGAGGAGCAAAACCCCAACCAAAGGCAACACCACTGGGAGTCCAAGCCCGTCAATGACTTAACTCTACAAAGTACCTGTTTTCCTGCTGGGGAGGGACACGCAACTGGTGTCAGTTGACCTTGGCTCGAGTTTTTCCACTCACAACCTGTCGCGCCACGGTGACAAGTGACAACATGGCCTTGCCCGAGAGCTCGTTTTTCAAGTAGGATGGGAAGAAGGTTCCTACCCAGCGAGCGCTCGGTCCCATCTCTGCAGTCTCGTGAAACATGGATTTCCATTTTCACGTCTTTCTAGACAAATCTGAGCGCCCCGGCACCATGCTGGGGTCCCTGCACAGTGACTCGGCAGCAGTTTTGGGGTTGAAAGCAGGATTTCCCAGTGCTGGAAATCTGGCCCGGGCCTCTGATCCCCAAGTCCTCTCAGCCTTGAAGTCTGCTCCAGACTTCGCTGGTTTTAGGAACCCTGTGCGCCAGCCCCGCGCTAGCTCCTGGGACAGAGGCCTTGCTAATGTACGCAGAACCAGCTCCCAACTCCAAAGCGGCTGCTCGGGCACCAGCAGGGCTCAGCCAAGTCTTTCAGGGCGGCTTCCTGGTCCCCAGCGACGATCGATCTTGCGCCCCGATCCGGGCCGAAGACCCCAGGGCGCAACCCGCAGACCCGGCAGTCGCGGAGACCCACCGCACGCACCGCATCCGGCCAGGTCGCGGCCGCCCGGGGAAGCAGGCGGCGTCCTCGGGACGGCAGGGGGCGGGGAGGAAGCAACGCGGAGCCCGGCCGGCTCCCCAGCGCGCAGTCCCGGCGGCTCCCGCTTGGCGCAGCCCTGGAGGCGGCGCGTGGGCGCAAGCACCGCGCTCCCCGGATCCCCGCGGCGGCCACTTGTTTGTGCGCAACCCCGATACCCGCCCAGGGCGGCCGGCAGGCCCGGCGCGTCCCCCACCCCCACGCCAGAAGTTTCTCCCGAGCCCACGGGCGGCACCAGGCTTCCCTCCCGAAGTTGGGAACGGCCGGAGCCGAGCGCGCACGACACCCGGGGAAGGGACGACCGGGGCGGGGACGCTTTGGCGGAGGCGCCCGAAGTGAAAAGGAAAGAAACCGCCCGGGTCTTCGGAAGGGACCCGCGCGTGCCGCGATCTCCGCCTCCCACCCGCGATCGCGGCCGCCGCCAGGGGCGCGCGGGGGCTCAGGGCCTCCCGGGAGGGGCGTGGCGCGCGCGGGTGCCCGGGGCCCCGGTGTGGGGACCCCGGGGCGTGGGAGCCTCGGGGACCTCCCGACCCCCTGCTGCCAGCTCCCAGCCGCCCGCGCACTCACTCACCTGGCGCGGGGCGCGAGTCGTGGGGTCGCCGCTGCTGTCTCCGCGGGCTGGGCCTCTCCGGATCCGATCCTCTCAGCCCGCCCGACCCGACCCGATCCGAGCCGATCCTCTGGCCCCGCCCCGTCGGCCCCGCCCCGGCCCCGCCCCCAGGGCCCGAGGCGCGGCGTTCAAGGCCCCGGCCCGCGCCCGACCCTACCCCGGCGGCCCGGACGCGCCGCGCTAGGCCCCGCCCACGTCAGGCTCAGCTCCAGAGATTTCCCAGGAATACAGTCCGGGGCCTCTGAAAGCGCCCTGAGCCACAAGTGTGCCCGCGAGTGAGTATAGTTGGGCTTCCTGCCGCTCTGCCCCCCGCGGGAATTGGGGTTTCGCGAGGCCCAGAACTTGGCCGATACCCAGGAATTAATTGGATTTGCTTGGTCGTTTCTGGATGGATTTGGGGTTGGGATGGAAGAGCAGCTTTTACTTCCAAGCTTCTTACTATTCATAAGTCATTCAACAAACGGTATTGAGCACCTGCTTTGGAGCCAGCGTGGAAGTAAAGGTGACGGGGACACCCGAGCCCACGGGAGGAGACTGTGGAGAGAGGCTCTCTAGAAGCTCTAGAAAGAGCACAGCAAGTGGAGGAACAGAAATCTCACTGCTCCACACACTTCCGGACTGTGCCAAGCATCAGCTTTCTGCCAGAGAGCCGGTGCTAACAGGTGAGGACAGGCTGGTCGCTGGAGCCAGAGCGGCCCTGGCGTCGGAGCCACGGGTGGCTGAGGCTCGGGCCGGGATTAGGGCTTTGCCTGCTTTGTGGCTGCTGGGCTCTTTGGGAGCACTGGCCAGCAGGTGCTTGGCCCTGCGTGTCTGTGTCTGAGCCTCGGTCCTCCTGCCCTTTCCAGCTTTAGGAGAAAAACTTGGCTGAGGAGTCGGGGGCTGCACCCCACCTATGCCAGCGGCAGAGCCTGATCCTGAACCGGCGCACTGAGCTGCCGAGTGGGGCCGCTGCCAGGGCCTGCACAGTATGGGCAGTGATGCAGTGACGGCCGCTGCCCACAGCTGAAGAGTGGCCCAGGGAAACTCTTAACGGCCGAGTGGCTCTGGTGGGGACCGTGGGAAACAGGGTCGTCTCTCTCGAACATCCCTGTGGTTTATTTGGTTTATTTGATTTTTCTCGTGGACCGTTTCCAGGGATCTTGGATGAAAATCCTGGCCTATGGCAAGTTGAGGTAAGAGACAGCTGGTCCGCTCCACTGTATCTCTAGACCGTACATTCAGAATCTTCGGGGTCAACCAACAGCAGGTGGAAACCGGTTTTGAAAAACAGAGGTGGGCACGGAACAAGTATGAATGTTTTACCGTCATCAGTTTAGCAGGTCCCATGCACCACATCAGCCAGAAGAGTCACCTTCTCAGGAGGGAGGGTGTGTGCAGACCCAGGGGAAGGCGGGGTCCTGTAGACTCCGCCCCACCTCCCAGGGCAGGGCAGTTCAGAGCCCAGGACTAGATGGCCACCGAGGACTCTGCACCCGGCAGCTGGAAAGGATGGAGCCACACAGAATAACAAGAGCTAACATTTAACCAGAGCTTCCTGCGGGGCAGATGTTGCTGCAGGCGCTCTGCATGTGTGAGCCTCCTGTCTTCCCGGAGATCAGGCCGCGGGCCTCACTGGAGCATAGGGAAGAGAAGCCCATGCCGAGAGTGACAGAGCCAGGATTTCACGCCCAGATCCTCGTGCTTCCTGAGGTCCAGGACTCGTCCTCCACCTCCCAATGGCCACACCTCCTGCCTTTTGCTGTTGTTTTTTCCCCCCTTTTTGGTGGATTTGCTTCTGTCTCTTCTTGTGGTAGTTACGTCACCCCTGGGGTCAGGGACTCTGCTGCTGAGCATTGGTCTCTTGTGCAAGGACTGGCCTGGCTCTGTTAGTTGCTGGCACCTTGGCCACATCCCCTGGAACCCTGTCACCAGTTGGGGTACCAGGTTCCAGATGTGCCTGCTGCCTGTCACACCTGTGTGTCCCAGAGTGCCACCTTCAGCTGCAGGAAGTGTGAGGACAGCTGGAGGCTCTGTGTCCTCCGGCCTTCCACCTAGGTTTCAGGTGACAGGTGAGCATGCAGGTGACAAGCAGGTGACATTATTCCAGCTTCTTTGCCCCAGCTCAGGACTCTGCGCTGACCACAGGGCTTCTCACATGGACGGGCCAAACTCCTGCCTTCTTCTCGGGCCTTGGCTTGACCTCTCTTGCTTTCCAGTCCCACTTCCCATGTCCCTGTCCTTTCTTCCTGGGACCTGCAGCCTGATGTGTGAGGCCCAGTACAGAGTGAATGGTCATAAATTATTGGAGAATTTTGAAGTGGCTGGCCCAAGAATTCCACCTGCCTGGAATACGTGGGCCTGCCGCTGGGTGTCTTCTCTGGGCTCGGGCTGATGTAATGCTGATTCAAGTGGAAACCAGCCGGGCAGGCCACATGGAGATGCACCCTGTGCCTTGGTGGGCCGCCCGCAGGATGGTGTCAGGTCCAGCTGCACAGAATGAGCATTAGCGGCACAGGAGGCCCGGTGTTGCAGACTGAGTTGGTTAGAAATATTATAGGCAGTGAGACAGGGCTGGGTCCTCAAAGGAGCCAGAGCAGATACCTTAGGACTGTGGGGGAGACAGACACCTCCTGCTGTGGGCTAGGCCTCAAGACAAAGGATCAAACAAATGCATCCACAGCCTAAAGCCTGATATTCTAATTAGTTCCCTATTACCCTGAGAAAGTAATCCCATCCCACTAGGGGAAAAGTTACAGCTCTAAGAATGCCGCTCCGTATGTAACTTGCTTTCCCATTTGTCCCCAACTTAATTTTACCTGAACTACTAATCTTATTGGCTAACTATAGTTCTGTCCCACCTTATGCCCATCTGCCTTGTGAGCTCCCACTTTTCCCCACCTTGAACTCATCTCACCTCATGGTTTTACTCTATAAAATCCCTGGAAAAGACAGTCTTGCCCAACCCGCTCAGGACCCCTTCTGTCTCTCTCAGACAGAAGCTTTCTTTCTCTCAATAAATATATTCTACTGTTTAACCTCCGTTGTTCCTAAAATTCATTCTTTGATTTTAGAGAGCATGAACTCGCAGAGGTAAGGACCCCAGAATGGTGGGCTCCTGCTGGGGCTTTGGACACTTGCACCTCCACCCCCCATGGGACTGGAAGAAGGGGCAGAGTGGTTCCCCAGGCAGGGCCTAGCAGCCCCGGTGGCCAGGCCGGGAGTCGGCAGGGAGTCCTGCGTCAGCTCTGCCTGGGCACCTGGGATAAGCTCCCAGCATGCCCTGCAGCCAGACGACCTCCCACATCCCCTGGGTCGGGTGGCCAGGGTGGTGACGCACGGCTGCCCTTCAGTGGACCTGACCTGGCCTCCCGGCGTGGCGTGACGGTAACCCAGTGTCCTGTCCCTTCCGGATGCTACAAGCCGGTTAGGTTCCTGGTTTTCTTTCTCCAGGTTTCCTCCCCTTTTTGTGTTCTGACTCTGCGTTTTCCCCCCTCCTCCTTCGGGGGCGCTTGAAACAAACACAAACCATATGAAAGCCCCGTCCCCAGCAGAGGACGTTTCATCCAGGCTTGGCCACTGACAAGCTCTCACTTCTGGCCTCGAAAGGACGGGGTTCTAACAGGCAGTGAAACCTCACCGAAGTGGCTTTCCCCACCCTCAGCCCCTGTGAAGTCTCCCTGGGTCGGTGCAGTTCCTGCATGAACGTGAACGCACTGGGACCTGACTCAGTCTGGGCACCAACACCCGACTACAGTGAGAAGCAGAGAGGGCAGGAAGGGGTGAAGAAGCAAGGGTTCAGCTGGTCTCTGGGTGCCCAGGTGTCCACACCCCTCAGGACACCATGCCCAGGATGACCACCACCACTGTGGTCACTGGGGACTCCACTGGTCCTGCCTGGACCTCACCGGTCTAAACCTGCCCTGGGAGTGACGGAGAGCCGTCTCCTCCTGAGTCTGTGGCCACCTGGGCTGGGGTTTCTCAAACTGGTTTTTCTGCTCCGTCAGAGGCTGCCTTGTCGTGTCCCATGCAGCAGGGAGCTCAGGAAAGGATCCCAGGCTTGGAAATCCCCAGGGAGCCTGCTGAGACAGGAAAGGCCAAGGGCAGGAGCTGGGAGGACCCATGGAGGCGGACCAGAGGGCGGGTCCTCTATGGCTGGAGCCTGGTGGGAGTGGTTCAGGCAGATTCTAACTCTGGATGGGGTTTCCTAGCTGGAGCTGATGCTCCTTTGGGATGCTTAATAGTTGACTTCATCGGAGGATTTGTGGAGTTTTCTGCTTTATGACCAAGAGGCGCAGAATTTGTGGGTACTGTTGTCAGTATATGAGAAGTCAAGCCCAAGGCTCAGCACCTGAGCCCCCAGCTAGCCAGTGGGGACGCAGGGGGTCCCCAGGGAAAGCAAGTCACGTGTGTGGCTGGGAGCAGTGCACCCCACGAAAGCAGACAGACATCAGAGTGAGACCAACCACAGGACAGATGCCCGAGTGTCAGAGTGTCAGAGCTCAGGGAGGTTTCCCGTGCGAGTGTGAAGAGCCTTGTACAGGTATTTCTTCACATCTGCCACGTTTGGTGAAGTATCAATAATGACTTTCTGGAGGTGGCGGTGATACAGGGGAATGGAACTCCCAACCTGCTAGATGTCTGGGATGTGTTAATGTTCTCTAAAATCAAAGAATGAATTTTAGGAACAGCAGAGGTTAAGAGCAGAATATATTTATGGAGAGAAAGAAAGTTTCTGTCAGAGAGAGACAGAGAGACAGACTGACAGACAGACAGACAGAAGGGGGTCCTGAGCGGGTTGCTGGGGTCTCTGTCTTTCCTAGGGACTTTTATAGAGCAAAACCACAAAGTGAGGTGGGTCCAAAGTGGGAGAAAACAGAACTTTCGAGGTGGGCATGAGGTGGGACAGAACTATGGTTAACAGTAAGATTAATTCTCAGGTAAAGTTGATTAAATCAGGAACAAGTGGGGAAGCGGTCAGGCAGAGAGCAGCCATGCTTAACAGCAGTGACTCTTTCCGAGGGGTTGGAATGGTGGCTCCTGGCTTCCTCAGAGTGATAGAGAACTATGTAGAATATCAATCCTTAGGACTGAGATTTGTTTATTCTTTTGTCTTGAGGTCTGGCCCACAGCAGGAGGTGTATGTCTCCCCCACAGCTGCAAGGTGTCTGGGCTTCTGCCCCGGGGACCTAGCCCTCTCTGACTGCCAGTAACATTTCTAAGTCAGCTGCTTGTAACAGTGGGATTTCAGGTACCCAGCATTTTATACCAGTAGCTTTTTAATTATTATTTTATTTATTTTTTGCTGTAGCTTTTCTGTGAAATCATGTGCATTTTTAATGTCATGTATGCATCTTTTTGAATATTATACAATGAATTCAAAGGGTATTGTGTAGGTCAGGTCAGGAGTCGGTGAATTCTGGCCACAGAGGCAAAGCGCTGCCTGTTTTTATGAAGTTTTATTGGAACACAGCCACAGTCATCATGCACCTATGGTCTATGAGAACTTCTGCTTGACAAGAAAAGAACAGGACCGGACAGGACAGACAGCTGTGATGGGCCACAGCCTAAAGTACGTATCAGTGTCTCTAAGAAGATGTGTGGCAATCTCTAGGGTGGACAGTTGGACCGGAAAACATTTTCAGTGTGCAAATTGCAGCTGCATTTGACCTGTGCTTAAGATTTCAGTATCTGTCAGTTTTTATATTTGAAAATAGTGGTGTCTGCTTATGGTAAAGGCCTTTGGGTTCTGAGGAGGGGTTATAGGAAGGGATGGAAGTGAGGTGTTAGGGGCCATACACTGTGTGAACTTGAACAGTTTAGAAGTTTAAGAGACACTCAGCAGGGAGCCAGGGTTCTTACTTTGTAAATATTCTCAACCTATGCAAGAAGAAGCAGGAGATTTTGTGAGTGCTACAACCACCCTGTGGTGAAAGGGTTACGGGGTGGCCTGTGTACAATACAAGGGAGGAGAAGAGGCTTACTCTGCCCCTTTTGCCCTGGCTGAGTTTGCTGGCTGCTGCCTTGAAGTATTGTCCCTGTGCCACTCCACCCTGCCTTGGAGCCAGCTGATTATGGACTAAAACCTCCACAAACTGTGAGCTAAAGAAACCTTTCCTTCCTTCATTTTGGGTGTCTGGTATTTTGTCCCAGCAATGAGAGAAAACTAAGACATGAGGACACTCACACTTGGGTGGCCAAAGTCTCAGTGTGGAAAGCCTGCCCTGCCCTTGCAGCTCTGTCCCTCCTCCTGCAGTACAGTGTCCACTTAGGTGCTATGGCGCTTGAGGGAGGACTGCTGGGAGGACTGAGGCTCGCCTCCGCTGGCTTGAGTGTGTCCGACACAGTGGCGGGAAAGTCTGGGGCACAGTGGTCCTTGGGAGGAGAGGAAGGGAGCGAGATTGCTCCCAGAGGGGAGCCCAGGAGCCAGTGGGACAGTCACTGCCTTCCTGTCCCTCCGTCACATCTCACATCAGGCCCCATAGCCTCCAGGCCTCAGTGGGGCCCGGGAGGTTTGCTGTGTCATACCCACACTGCCCAGCCTTGAAGCTGCCACATGCCTTAGGGTCACCAACACCAGTCTGAGCGACGCTGGGCACTCACGCATCTCTGAAACTTAGTCCAGAGCATTGGACTTGGGCCCTGGTAGAAAACGTGCTTGGATACCAGGAAGTTAAATGTATCTGCAGACCGTTCCTGCCCAGTGCCCATTTAGCTCTTTCCTGAAGAAAAGATTGATCGGGCATGGTCGAACTGGCCAGCAGCAGTCTGTGAGGTGACAGCTGGCTGCACTGGCCGGGGATGGGACCTCAGCTCCTGCACCTGCTCCAGGGAGGAAAGCGTTTATTACCCCTGGCCTCTGATAACACAGCTGCTTCTTTGTAGCCGTGGATACCGTGAGCCTGGAAATCGCCTCGCCCGACACCCCAGCCCCCAGCGTCCACAGGGTTTCTTCTGAGCATGGGCGAATCTCAAAATTATTCTTCTGCTGAGGTTTCCTTTTTCTATTCCAGGATTCCAGTGTTCCGGTGTGTTAGAGTTCGGAAATCTTGGGTGATTGTTATGCAGTTATCCAGATAGTGTTTTAAAATAAAACTTGGGGTCATTTCTTGTCTGTGGATCGTATCTTGAGATGACCAAGCACGGGTGACACATTTGAATTCTGAAGGTACTAAAGGTGCCTCCGCAGAAGTGTCCACCTCGAGAGGTCAGGCCTGCGCAGGCCTCCCCGGGCTCTTCCCATGTTCCTGGCTTTCCAGGGGGGGTCGCGCATCCTTCCGGACAGAGTCACCCCTGGCCTGAGGATCAGCTCGGCTGACTATCTCCTTACAGAGGCCTGCTGGACTCTGCTGGGTAATTTTGTCCTCCTATGAATAATTTGGAACTTTATTCTGGAATAAACTTGGTTGGAAACTGGTTAATCCTCTCAGATCTTGTTTTATTTGGCAGGATTGTGGCTGATTTTCTCTCTGTCAGTGGGATCTGCATGGATGCAGCCCACACTGAGGTTTTCCAGCCCATCTCCCTCACCTCTGCGCCCCGGGCCTCCTCCATCCCTGGGCTACTCCTCACGTGCACCCTCTTTCTGGTTTGCAGTCCTGTGACTCCTGCTCAATCTCCCCAAGCCCGCTCAGGCTCCTCCCAAGTCCTCCTCTGTGCTCTGGCCAGGAAATTCCCTCCAGGGGTGCTGTGGGGTTCAGCCCCTCTTCTGGCCATCTCTCCCACTCTCAGGGATTCCTGTCCTTTCGCCAGTATTTTAGAGAAGATCATCTGTTGCACTTTTCTTGGCTTGGGTGCTTCCGGTAGGAGGGGAAACTGTTCCTGTCCTTCATCCCACGGCTTTCCTCACCCTGCGCCATTCGGGGGGCTCGTACTGCTCCCTCGCTGTGACCTAGTACCCAGGCGACAAGGTCCTCCAGGACAGTGACCATGTCTGCTGCCTGCTGCAGTGTCCCAGGGCCTCTTGCGCTGCCTGACACAGCGCAGTGCTCACTGAATACAGGACGAGTGAACAATGGCTCCAAGCCGGACCAGGACC